GTAGTCGCAGGTGTCGCATCTGTTCTTGGCGCTCGTGCAGCTCTGCGAGGGAGAACGCGAGACAGCAAGCCCAAATCTATAGCTGACTTTGCCGCTCTCCGTTTCGCTGCTGATCTTGACACACCTTTAAAAGCCGAGCCTCTTCCCCTATCCACGTGGGGGAATGATATCAGAAAACTCATCGCGGCACCTAGATCTATCTCCATCAAAAAGGTGCTACTTCGCGAGGCTTCCGATGGTCAAACTGTGTGGCCCGCGAAGACTGCCATGTTTATAATCGACTTCTCAACGGCACCCGATGAACTTCGACATCAACGAATTAATGAGCGCGCGACAGTAATGCTTCAACGCCACGCTATTGATGTGAATGAGATCCCCGCTGCTGTCCATGGAGCTGCGCTCTGGATCAGTCCAGGCCGCGGGAATTTGTTTGACGAAGAACAAGCATTCGTGCAGACTCGAGACTTGCAAAATAAGAGCAATGTCACCCAAGAGGGTATCGATGGCCAAATACATATGGATGGTGCCACGTTAGCTCGCGTTCTCATGTCACAGGACGCTGATGCAAGGTTGGCTCGTAAAGCAATTCAAGCCGCGGTACAAGCATTTCGTGCAATCCGGATCGATAGGGTCTTGAAAGCCAAAGTGTTGTGGTGCAATCGAGCAAGAAAGCGGCTGATGCGCTTGTTACCATGGCTGGAGAGAACCAGCAGGACAGTGCAGGGATCGGGACTTCTGACTGCAAACCACCAGTCTACTGACATTGATCAATCCATACTGACCCTGCGAGCGCACGCGGAGAGAACAAGACCACAAGGTCGTGCCAATGCATTCGATGCTGTAATATCTCGCATCCGTTATTTGAGACACCTCGCTAGGAGGTAGAAAGTGTCTTTGGTTGAATGACTTCGCAGTGTTGTGTCCTTGACACGTGATCCCATAGGTTCGACCAGCGACGATGACGCCAAGAATGACTTACAAGGACTAAATGAAGATCAACTGCACCCTTGGCTACTTTGGCGTGGCCTGGTCCTCACACACGCGTGTCAATGCCGTCTCCCACCTTCTGTGTGTGCAGTTCCCCACTGCTCAGTTGCTCGGAGGCGTGTCCTCTCCAAAGAAGACATGCGTACTGGCGAGCGCCTTGTTACTTTCCACTCGCCGAATGAGGCGCAGCAGCGTCAGTATAGGAATAATGAGAATTCACATGATTCTCTCTTCATTAAGGTCCACTATGCTCCAGCCTCGCCCCCATCCGCGGAGATTGCTAGTACCTCTCAAAGCTCTAGATGGGCGGCTGAGGTCTGCCAAGAAGTCGAGACTCTACTAGAAGCTCACGCAACGCAACTCGATGGTAAATATCGCGATTTCATGAAGCTCAAATCGAAACATCAGATTATTCACGCGTCTGAAGCCTCTAAGGCTGCTTCGGGGAGTGCCTTGGGCTCGCATCCTGCTCACCAATCACTGGTCAATGATGAAGTCCAACCGGAGTCCACCGCGAGGCAACCGCCCAGTACGCAGTCTTACAAGCAAGTGTCTGCCTATCTGAGTGGCCTATCTGATGCAGCAGAAACCGACCCAGAGAGGCATACTGCGCTGCATGGGTGTCTGATCTCATTGGCTGAAGCGGATCAGCTTGCACGTGAAGTTTCTACCAAAAGGCGCATGCAAGCTACTGCCAAGCTCACCATACCGAGAGCTCTGGTCGCACTATTAATATGTCGTGACTCTGCATGTGATGTCAGGGGCACGTCCACCGGAGTGAAAGCAAATAAGGTCGGTAACCAGGGCTTCAGCGGTAACGATTCATTCTTCGCATGGCTGCTGAGTCGCGTGCGACTCGAGCAAAAGCATGTCCAGCGCGCAACCTCGCATACAGCACGTGGCATGAAGCACGTGGGCATTGGCAAGCTTCGCTTTGACTCGGAGCATGGACGCGCGGCGGCCTGCGTGTCTGGAGATCTTTTGTTACTTTGTGTGTCACAACCTGCTCCTAGTCGTAAGATAATCCAGGAAGTGCATACTACAACAGATCAGAGTGACCTTGGTGCGGAACTCAGGATCGACGACAGCACCACTACTGTGGCTATCGCATCACACATGGAAGAGATTACGGATCCTGGCCTCCTCGTAGAAACGACCCTGCCAGGTGCATGTGACACTCAGATTCTCGCGCTTTCCAGAAAAATGCTAGATGCAGCCATGCCACTACAAGGCCAGCGGGGTGGTCATGCCTTGATGCACCTTATCTCCCTTGTCAGTCGAGCCGATCTTGCGGCATGGCTGTTACGGCGCGCATCTTTGGTGATGGAATCTAGGGGAAATTGTCTAAGACTCAAAAGCCGCCGCGTCTTTATGGCGGTGGCCACTGCCTTTCCGCCAAAACAAATAATCCCGAGGTCGCAACGCTCGCCAACAAAGAGAGCTGGCGCTGACGCGGAGGGACGACCAAAGGTAAAGCGTGCTTGGCTTGATGCTGATGAAGATGATCGGAGCGAGGGCGAATCAGATGAAAACACTCTCGGAGCATATCAACAACAGACGTTCATTCGTCGTACCATTGCGCTCCGAAGGGGAGCTCCTGCATTTAAGAGGGCACAAGTCGGTGCGCGTCTGCTGCGCGTGAGGGAGGCGAGGATAGACCTCACATGTCAGCGGTACCTTGAAACACCCACCCTACTTAGTGTCGTTGCTCGCGAGTGGCGTGCCATGGCAAATGAGGATTCAGTTGCGCGTGCACTACAGCCGTACCTTGCCGCGCCTCACGGCCGGGTGAAGACTTTCAAGCCAGCGTTCGAATTCACACTCCGGCGCGCAGCGGCTTCGCATCGTGGTGCTCACGATAGTATTCCTCCCTCTCAGCATGATCTCATACGCGTAGCGGAGCTTGATGTTTTTTTCAAGAGCCTACTTGTGGAAGAAGATGCTAGCGATGCCAAACATTCTGATAACCTTGCAGTACAAGATGAACTCGAAGCTGCGAGAAAGGCAGTTGAGCAAGGAAACTTGACAGTGCCATTCTTTCTCGGTAAATTGGCAGTATATTGGCTAGCGTCACAGGGGGCTCGTTCGCAGCGTCGTGTGAGGCGCAAGGAATTGCGCCAGTTTGTTCGGCCTCGCGTCGAAACTGAAATCCAAGATGTGCGAGAGCACGATGCCAATCCTGCAGTGGGCATTCAGGACTCATCAAGTGGCGAGAAGAAGGCTACGGCACGTGGGAGGAGATTGCTTAGAGGTATAGGCATATTCCGAAGTAAGTCGCGAGCATCGTGATATGTCGGCACTCATCAAGAATTCACATCGAGAGCGATAACGTGGGAGCAACTACAGGGAGACTCAAGATCGACCCGAGAAGCTGAACAGCGTAAAGTTTATCCTGTGAAAAGAGCCTAAGTCCTCCCTGTGAAACTTCCCTTGGGAGGGGAAGATGAAGGACCGCAGATAGCAGGCATAGGGATATACTACCAAGGCGAGAGGACATGCACTCCAGACACCTGTGCTCATGGCATACAGCAGTCATTGCGTGATTTTGGTTTGGTTTGCTGGTTGAGCCCTCAATTGCTGTTACGTTGTTCCACATATCGTGGATTTCTCGAAAATCATCTCACTAGCATGGAGCATCTTGAAAGGAAAAAGCCCACGCCGCCCCTGACCCCGGGGAAGCGGCGAGTTGGGAGAGGACCACCACAACCAGAAGTTTTGTTTTGGGCTGGATGACGATAGGCGGCCTAGCCCACTGACTCGTTACCGAAACATATAGTACCGCAATAAAGGCAACTCCGGCCTACTTGGCCGCGTGGCTCCTAGGAGGGTTGTAAAGAATCCGAATTCCGAGCCCGGGGCCCTTAGCTAATAAAGGCCACGGTCGCCTGGTCTGACCAGCCTCGGCTCGCGCGGCCTTAACTCTGAGTTCCAAGATTACAAAAGGTCATCAGGCACTCCCACTCGCCGGATAACACAGGGAAGGCGGGTAGATTCCCCCCACAAAGGGTGAGCTCGATTGACTATATGATGCCAGGAACCATGCAGGCCAACGGACCTAGTACACCTGCGACCTCTCGAGGGCACGGCCGCGGTTAAACTTACATTAAGGCTCGACAACTTAAGGCGGCTTATGAATTCCGAGGACAACATCGGCCATGAGCTGGTTTCAGCTCTAGAGCTCCAAGTAGTCGACTCTCAGCACCCGTCTGGTTTTGTTTGAGCCTCTGCAGCGAAACGACAATTGGGCGTGTGGGGACTAGAAGCTTGACAAGACCGGGCTCTGCCGGGCGAATGGTGATAGACAAGTCATTCACGACCGAGCCTATCGACTCTCGCGCGATGTTGCGTGCCATGTAACGTCGCACACAAACCTTCTGCAGGCGTGGCAACCTGGTGACCCCGGGTGGCCCGCGGTAGTTGTAGCCCCTCTGGAGCTCCATGTCGATACTGACCTGGCGCACTGGTACTTGCGCCCCAGGCCCGTGCCCTCGTTCTGTTTGGACTCTACATGAGAGAAGCTCCCGCACCCACCTTGATAATGAGCCTGGCACCGTCATTTGTCTTGTTTTCAACGATTATTTGAGCCGCTTGATTGCTGGTGAGACTTTTGATCCTGCAGGTTCAAGTCCTATTGCTCTTTGCGACAAGCAATGGCTAGCGTTTATCGCATCAGATGCTCGCAGCATTTGGCGTTGATGATTTTGACTTCTTGGAGCGCGTGATGCTGATGTAGTCACAGCGAGCTGTGATTGGCGGCGACTGCTTGTGGTACCAGCGTAGAGCGAAGGGACATTTGAATGGCGCCGGCTACTTTGTAGGCTCACGTGATTGGGACGACTTCCATAGGATGCATGGCATCTACTCTTTCTTTGCGCTGGTGGTTGGACGGTTGATACTCTACGTCCTGCTGTGTGTTTTGCTTGCGTGTTGCCAATAGGCCCTGGACTACCTATGCTCCTTTCTGCGGCATTGCCTGGTTTTGGCTCATAGTTTGCATAGAGACCTTCTAGATGTCCTATACAGCGCATGAAGGTTGCGCGGTCGATCTTCACTACAGAAACATCCTCAAGGGCCTTGACGGTTGCAGCACGGGGGGCATTGCGCAGCAAGGCAAGTTCACCAAAAAAAGTGCCTGCCTTCAACGGAGGGCAGACACGGACTTGCTCCCCCTCAACCATCTTCAAACACTCAACAGTCCCTTGTTCCAAGATGAAAAATTCATCTCCATCATCACCTTCTATTATAATCTCATCACCTGCGTCGTAGTCCTGTGGTTTCAGCGCATCGCAGATTATGTCCTTGGTCATAGTATCTAGGTTCTTGAATAGCGACACCTTGGAGATAAAGCCCGCATAGAGCAATCTCTGCTTGGAGGCTGTATTCTGCAGAATGGCTTTGAATGTCATTCGATCAAGGCACCATGCTGTGACCTCATTGAGGGTGGTGACATTGGCACCGCGTGGTCGCTCGTAAAGAAGGGCCAGTTCCCCAATATGGCGCCGGGCCGGCGCACGGCTATATTCGGTCCCAGCATAGTCCGGAATATCCATGACTTTCCCAACCCCATCAATAGTAACCACGCAATTCCCACCCTCGACGATGTAAAAGAGGTCGCCTTTATCTCCCTGAGTGATAAATTGAACGCCTGGGCTCAGAGTCTTGAAATACATGGCGTTGACGAGGAGAGAGCGCTCCTTCCGCGTAAGCTGACTCATAAAAAATAGGCGACCGAGGGTGTCTGTGAGAAAACTCACTTGCTCCTTGGTCTTGTCATAGTAAGGTGGTGACCAATCATCCTCGACAAGAACACGGTCTGCGGTAACAGCGGCGCGCTTCATTGGACTGCAATTTGGTTTGACGAACTTAAAATCCACATAATCAGCTTCGTCATCAGACGAATCTGACTCTGTGCCGTCAACAAGAGTCACCTTGGACCGGCGCTTTTTCCGGTTGTGTTTCCTGCCGTTCAAAGAACAACTAAGTTTCATCTTTTCATTCGGACTTGGTGCTTCGTCACCATAATCCTTGTGAACCGCTTCAATCTGCCCAATCGTTCGGTCAAATGTATCACGGTCGATGCGAAGCACACACACAGCCTCAAGTGCTTTAACTGTGGCTGATCTTGGAGCATTGCGCAGAAGAGCCAGCTCACCAAAGAAGGACGAGACGCCGAGGGGTAGACAAACACGCTTTTGATCTCCCCTGACCATCTTCAGACACTCAACAGTGCCTTCCTCGATGATAAAGAAATCGTCTCCATCTTCGCCTTCGCGCACGATGATATCGCCAGCATTAAAGTCGATTGGCTTGAGGGCGTCGCAAATGACGTGTTTTTGATAAATTGACATGCCCATGAAAAGAGGGACTTTGTCAATAAATTCTGCGTACAGGGTTCTCTGCTTTGACGCAGAATTTTCAAGGATTGACTTAAATATCCTACGCTCTAGTGAAAGAACCTCCAAGTCTGTCGCCGCAGTGACGGAAACGGGAGAAACTTGACCATACAGCAGCGCAAGCTCACCGACATGAAGTCTCGGTGGCCCATCTGGAAAATCTGGGTCAATGGCCGGGATGTCGCTAATTTTCCCGCGTTCCTCTGTCGAGACAAAACAACTACCGTTAGTAATTATGTAGAATGTGTCACTAGAATGCCTCTCTGTCACGAGGCATTCACCGGCGAGGATTGACATTGGCCGCATTGCATTGGTGATCAGGCGTGTCTCCTTGCGTGTCAGGTGCTTCAAAAAGAAAATCTGCTGTAATTGTTCGGTAAGAAAACTAATTTTGTCTGGGAATTTCTCGTAGTGAAGTGGGTGCCAGTTATCTTCGATGATTATTTTCTCCGAGGAAACCGCCTGTCGTTTTGCCGTGGACCGCTCAACAAATCTGAAGTCAGCATAGTCTGACTCCGAGTCTGTCGTTTTATCCGATGCGCTAGAATCAGATTCGGAAGATCCCTCCGTTGAATTCTCCTCAAATGAGTTGTCAAGAAGTGCGTGTTCATCAAATTTCGATGCTTCCAAGAGCTTCGCTGGTACCCCCATCTTGATGAACCATGGATTTACCATCTTGTCACATTTACTCCCGTCTGCTTGCTCTGATGAATCTTTGGGGTGAGTTGAAAGCCGCTGCTGTGAGAGAGTGTCAGCTTTGATAGAGTCAAGTTCAACCCAGACAACATCATCGTCATCATCACTCAGGTTGGACTCGAGATCTGCCATGCCGTTTCCGTTCTGTGGTTGATCCATGCGCTCGGACAACGCTAGTTCTTGGACCTTTGGGCCTCGTCCTCCACAGTCACTTAAAAAAAAATCGTTGGACTCATATGGGACGTTATCAAGCTCCAATCTTGAGCTCAGGGTGTTGTAGGCGCTTTCGGAACCAATGAATGGCGGCGAATGGGCGCGATGCTGTGTATGCTCTTCGATTGGCTGCAATGCAGCAGCAAGGCGATTGAAGTCTTCAAGCATCTTCAGCGAGGCATTCATTGCCGATTCGTTTTCGTCCGACCCACCACGAAAAGAATGGCGCACAAGGAGTGAGAGAGTGCCAGATTTGGTGATGAGGTTCGATTCATATTGACGCCGCGCTAGAAGACGATGTGCTTCTGATGTCGCAGCAACAAGCCAAATTTTCTCCTTAACGATCCTGCGCCGAGATAGTTGCGCAATAAGTTCTGTTGCGTCCTGAAGCACCTCCCGGGTCTTCTTTTTTTCGACTTTACTGAGTTGGAAGAAACACCAGACAATATTTTTCTCGGCAGTTCCATGGCGCACGACGAGTGTCGGGTCTTCGAGAAGGTTACATTCTTCGCCTGCCGCTTTACCAAAACTCGACGTTTCATCACCTCGTCCACCCGCTGCAATTATTGCGGGTTCGTGTTCTTGTGACGTAATCGGTGGAGCCTCTGCAAGTTGTGAGGTAGGAGCGGCACGTCCTGAAGGGCTGCCATCACGTGGTGGCAGGCCACGACTCGATAGAATAGTCTCATCACAAACTGCGCTCATGGATTTCATGTCAAGATTCAACTTCCCAACTGGCGCTTCACTTACTACTCCCTTGCAATGTGTTGTGCTGATGAATTCGTCAAAAGCACTGTTTGGTCTTGGGGTCACAGCCGAACGAGCAGAGGTTGTCATGGAAACCTGATTCTTATTGATAACGACAGAGGTTGAGAGTGGTGGACTGAGCGACCGGGGACTCACTTGGTCTGACGATTGAACTTTCGCACAGCGTTCCACAGGTCTGCGGCGCTGGAGCTCGAGACGGGCAATCTGAATCAACTCGACTAGCATATTGAGTTCGGTTGCAATCCGGTTGCGCTGTACTGGGTCAACTAGGAGGAGGGCAAGGGTAGCGACGGACCAGCCACGTAGTATGTTTGACGTCGCCTCACATCGGACGAGGCCTGAGGAGACCGTATGTATGGCGCCAACAACGGCTGTGTCAATCTTTTGACGAAGCATATCATGGTTCCGTGCAAATGCGTACAGGACGGCATACGAACGAATGAAAGCACTATACCGCCAGAAGGCAATACCCTGCCCTCGACCTGGTTTCTTCATTAATGTAGCACGTTTAGGCGAGGCAACGCTCGTCACTATTTCAATAGCACCCTCGTTTCGAAGTCGCAGGGAGATTTCAGGAGAATCTCCACCACGTTCGGCGATCACACGAAGTGCGCACATAGCAATGGTGCTCAATTCGTAGTTCGCGCACATCGAGGCATCATCGTCGTCGTCAATGTCGTCTACATGCAGAGTTTCCTGACCACGTCGTGTCTCGAGGGAAATTAGTGCTGTCAGAACACCGAGCTTAACGACCTGTAACCAGTCGCATGAATCAGAGGGGACCAGAACAAGACAGAAGAGAGCCCGTGCAATGGCCACAGCTTCAACTGGAATGTATTTCTCACGGGCATGTTCAACAGCCACTGAGACCAGGCTGCAAACAACGGAGGTAGATCGAGAAACGGTCACCCGGGTATCAACGTCCCAAGCGAGCAGACCAAGAGAGACTTGCGCACTGAGTGAAACCATAGGCTGGTTTCTCTCCAGCGTGAAGGCAGCAAGGGCGTCCAAGGTGCGTGGATCTGCGGCGAGTTTGGCGCGGTAGGTACCTTGTCGTGCACAACGCTCGATCGCGGTGATGCACGACCTAGTCTCACCATTTAGCTGAACGTCTGAGGGCTGGGTGTATACGATGCCGACAAGCAAGGCAAGAGCTCCGACGTCAACCGCGACTGCACAACAATCAGCGGTAGCAAGTACGAGTCTACAGGCAATACGAGCTACGCAGTGCCGAAGCATATCTAGTGCACCACAATGTCCATCATTGTGGTCGTGCCATGACTTGCTGCGCTCTGACACACGAAGCCGCTGCAAATCAGGCAGGCCTTGAGTAGCAGAGCCAGGGACACCCACTGTTGTAGACACATTCGTCGATTCCCAACCAAATTGTTTATTTGTCCGAGCAAAGAGCACGCGCAAGCACACTGGTCGACCGGTGAGCAAGGTGCGGCCTGCCGCCGTTGCAGAGATGCGTGCGAGTGCGCATGCTGCATAAGCACGTGTTTGAACATCATCAACGCGACACATGCGAACAAGTGTTGGCATGAGACCCTGGGCATTCATGTCGGCCAAAGCCGACGCCATGACTCTCGCTTGCCCTCGAGGTGCGAGGAGATTCGCTAATGCTGCGGCACAGGAGCGCCGGGTAGTGTCGTGAGACGCGCGGACAGCGCCGATCATTGACACGGCGGCTACCACTCGTTGATCCTGGAGTGCCTGAACCAATTCACCTTCGCCGTCTTCTGCAACAGTCGAACATATGTTGCAAAGCGCATGCGCGCATGCGAGCTGGTTATCTTCTCCATACGATGTATCTGAGAGCAGTCCCAGAGCCTGTGCTGCCTTCGAGAAGACCATCGCACGCCGCGCGCGAGGCTCTAGGCTAAGATTTGCCAGTGTGATTGCACAGCAGAGCCGACTTTGAGCAACAAACTCTCGAGCACACGGCGGTTTTGGCAACCCATCTCCGGTGTACGCCTCCCTTGCTACATTTCCTTTGACGTAGAACTCAAGATTGAGCTCGCTTTTGCCATCGCGACTTGACGATGACTTATTAAATGCGACAACAATTCGTTCTTCAGACTTGCGATTAGATCGCAGAGTCACTTGCAGCAACACTTGGAGTATGCCATGTTCGAGGAGGGAGCTGCGACAGAGTTCGTCATAGGAGAACACTGTGAATAGGCTGGCAGCCGCTGCTCGAGCACCAACATCGACCGTTTCATACCATAGGAGTGCTGCAGGTATGACGGTTCGTGCGACCTCCAAAATCGCACCCGGCTCTAGAGCAACTTTTCTGAGGGCCACAAGTGTGCGCATGCCTAAGTTCACATAGTGCACGTCGCTAGCTAGAATTGGATTCACGCATGACACGTGCAATCGAAGTGTATCCACAAGGACAGCCATAGTTCCTGTCGCTGTTGATATGCGTGCATTTAGTGCTTTGTTCTCATCTACAGCGAGACGTCCTAGTGCTGCGACACAGCAAGCTAGACACCACGGTGGTGAATCCATATTTGGTGCACTGCTTCCTACCGTGACCCAGCCCTCAGCAATGAGCTCCTTGACTCTCTGGGCAAGTCGCACAATCCCGGGAACGAGAGCGCGAGATACCGCATCGTCTTCACGAACAAGCTGAAAAGCTGTTACTCGTTCAAATACTAGCGCACAAGCGCCAATCAGGGCCTTATTCAGTGGCATTTCTGAGGGTGGACCGCCCCCCATACTTGCCCCTCCACTCGGCGTGACATCAAGGGGTTCAGGGCTTGAGAGTGATTGTAGGTGGCGCTTGTTTTTGCTGCAGATGGTCGGTGTTCCGGAGGTAGTTCCCAGGGCCCCAGACTGTCTCCGTGGCACAAAGGCATCATCAGGACGCAGAGAACCCCGCCGCCGGCCACGACCATCATCATCTTCTCGGCTCGATGGCTGTGAAGCAAGAGTTTCATCAAAGTGCCATAATCCGATTGGTAGATTAACCTCGTGATGGCAACACATTTGCACAACCGTAGTGAGGGCACCAGAACGCACTGATGATGCTAGGAGTGCAACGCCATGTGTCGTATCGCTCAAAAGAAGTGCAAGCGTGAGAAGAGCGAACCGAAGTGCCTTGTCGTGACGCTCCTCGTCCACACTACGCACGAAGGAGCGGCACGTCGCTGGGTTTGCACCGTCGCCAAGACAGGCACGCAGAAGATCATGCGCAGCGCAGGAACCGTCATTACCGTTCACGACGCAAGAATGCTCGCGTTGTTCTTTCTTGGTATATATCCGTGCAAGGCTCGTGCGCCCGGCAGCGGCAGAAGCCCACATGCTCGCAGCCCGTGTACCTTGCA